GCCCCCCCCCCCCCCCCAAAAACCTCCCCCCCCCCCCCAACACACCGGAGCAGAGAGCAGCAGCGGTGACGGGCTGCTGCCGTCTGCTCCGGAGGAGCGATGAGCGAGGTGGAGCGCGCCTCGCGTCGGGACGCCGCTGGCGCCGGCCGTCGGGACGCGTCTCCTTCATAGCCCCCGCAGCCTCGGTTGGCCAAAGCTGCGACCGAACCGGGCTACATTTCGATGTGTATCTTTGGCCCGCTGAGCTGGTATTTACAACTTTTATGGCTCGCTAATTGTTCCTTTCAATGCCATCTTTAGAGGTTAAATATTACTCTGCTTCCCCCCCCCCCCCCCCCGGGGGTGTAAAGGAACCCAAGCGGGGTGGTTGCCTCGGAACAACCGCCTCCCTTGAGAGACGGCCAAGCCGGATTTTGAGAAATTCCACCGATGGCACCGAGCAACGAGTGGCTTCTGCGCCGATAAGCCGGGCGGCAGTGCTGGGGCCGGTCACCTGCAGCTGTGCTATTCCGTTACACGCTGCGATACACAGGTCGGTGACATCTGCAGGTATTTCGATACTGGTGCCCGCGACGCCGCAAAACGGCGTGTCGTTCGTAATCGAATCCAGTGAAGGTCAGGAGGTCGTCACGATCGGTAGCGCCCCTCGCCATTGTCTCCTCACTGCTGCCCGGATCTCGGAGTTGTGGCAAAATCCACGGCCAGATTTCCGAGGCCCGCGCTCTCAAATTGGTCATCGACACGACCCTCTCCCGTGACCGACGCGGCATGAGGATGCCTTCATCCAGCAGTGGATTGACACGACTGAACGCTATTATTGCTGTTGCCAAGCGGGGGTGAATCGAACCGTGAACCCCGACGCGGTGGGGATCTGCGCACTGGGGATCGTCAGGCTGAACACGGCGGTCAGGCGCTACCACTTGATGTCTTCTGGAAATCCTCGCTGAGTCTCAAGGTTCGAGTTCAGGAAGGTGCTGCTACACTGGGATGTGTGGCCAACTCCGTGGATTATTGTTGTGCATGTGCTAGAAAATTGCGTGAGGATAAAAAAACCGCTCAAAAGATCCGCACAGATGGGTTTTGCAGGCCCCTTGCTCTTCTGCCATCTGATCGGCCACCTTGCATGCAGCCCAGCGGGGGTTTCGGAAGTTCACAAATCTCTACGTGATCCACCAATCCCTCACTCCAAAGCGTGGGACCATTGGCGTGTCTTGCCACTTAAGGTCGCCACCTCCAATTTACAAAAAAAAAACACCACAATGCTTCATGGGAAAAATAAGAAGAAGAATATCTGACAATAACAGAAAAGAGGACCACTCCATGTGAATGCATTGTCCCGAGTGGTGTAGCATTGTTACGCGACTGGCGACAACCCGGGACATGTAATGTCCAGGGAAAATGTGCAGATTTCCCTGGGAAGCAACCGCCTCCTCGCTCAACAAGAGAACAGATCCTGGGAAAAACGGGACAGGTGGCATACCCCTGCGCCACCACGCGTGGCCCAGTAGCTGCCCAGAAACGTGTGGGCAGAGACTCGGCGTGCTGCGAGCCGGCACGGTTTGGGGTGGCACGCCCCGCTGGCTCCCGTTCCCGGCCCTGGCCCAGGCGCGGCGCTGAGGCACCTGGGAGCCCTTGAACCCGAGACCCAGGCGGAGGCGCCTTGGAGGAACATGACATCGGAGGTTTCGGATATTCCTCCTCTCACAACCGCCCTCACTTCTCCCATAACTTCCCCCCCCCCCCACCATCCCCCTACCATCCCCCCACCATCCCCTAACCTGATGGTTCCAAAACACAGTAATACGCAACATGAAACAAATCTGTTGCTAACACCGCGTAGACGAGAGACGTTGACATGCGATCTCTCTGTGTACTGTGGCCTGAGTAATCTGGGTGGGGGTGAGGTGGGGGGGCGGGGTGGGGTTGGGGGCTCAGCGGCCTGGAGGTGGTGGGGGGGGGGGTTTGTGGGGACCAGTCGGTGATCTCGATTAGGGGGCCCACCGTACCAGAGAGGTTGAGAACCGCTGACCTAACCCCACCCCGCAGCGTTCACCCAAGTGCCCGTCACCTCCCGCCTCACCTCCCCCCCCACCTCCCCCCCCACCTCCCCCCACCTACCCCCCCCACCTCTCCCCCACCCTACCAGCTGATGTCGTTAACGGTCAGGGCAGCAGTCATTAGCCACGCCTCATAGGCCTCTCCATCTGAAGCCCGGGCTAAACTGCCCGGCGTTTACGCCCGTATGAGTTTCTTTTAACTGAAGAAATAAAAAAAAAATGGGAACATTGCTGATTTTTACGGCTTGGGTTTCCAACTGCGCCGGAGCGTTGCGGCGGCGGTGGCGGCAGTGGCCTTGTCGTCGTGGAGACAATTTCCGTTCAGCGCTTCGCCCGTTTCGCGAAAAATTTGCGCGCATTTGCAAATAGTTTTATTGTTATTCGGGCGATTTTTTCGCAACTTGGCGGGTGACAAAGCGACGAACGATGCCGTCGGTTAAAAGCCGATTCGTACTCTCGCGATCAACGCGGTGCATTGCCCGCGTGAGTTTAGATCGTTTCTTTGGCTGCATGTGTCGCGCGTGCGGTTGCTGTGCGGGAAAACCCTCCCTGCTGTCCGGGCGCGACACCGTGCCCCGATTCGTCGGTTAGAACGATCGTCGCGCTCGGGATTCGTGGATGGTGTCCATGCGTGATTTTTTTGAGAATCGGTTACAGTAAAACCTTGGATTGCGAGTAAGTTGGTCTGCGAGTGTTTTGCAAGACGAGCAAAAATTTTAAATAAACATGAATTTGATAAACGAGCGAGGTCTTGCAATACGAGTAGTACGTGTATACGCTTTGTTTGCCGAGTGTCACGTGATCACAACTGATAGACGAGTGCTTTGGATTACAAACACGTTTCCGGAACGAATTATGCTCGCAATCCAAGGTTTTACTGTATTTCCGATTGACGTACAGATGATATGCAACCACACGCTAGCTGTACTCAATGAGAAATGGTACAAATGAGACTGAGACCAAATGAAGAGGGTGTCGAATCAAATCGCGCCCCCGAGTCACCGATTGGTTCGAGGGACCCCATATCATTACGCTTCTACGCCCAGCTCACACTGCGGCTAGTGCAGAGCGCCCGATCCCTACATTGTCCATTCGTCTCGTCCAACGGTTACCGTTGCATTTTATCGCAGCACTTTTGTACTTGCGCACGTACATACGTAATGTGCGCGAGCGAGCGAGTGGGCGCTTGAGCGAGTGAGTTAACGAATGTGCCAAGCGAGTGGGCGAGCCAACGAGCGGGCGGACGAGCGGGCGGACGAGCGGGTGCGATGATGGGGCAGTCGTTCCCTAGGCAGCCTCGAGGGAGACGCTGCCGATGAAGCAAAAAGCGATGGATTTTCTGGACGGTGACCGCATCTCGCCCGTAAGATCTGATTAGGATCGCACGGAAACTGATTAGACGGGGATGGGGGAGGGGGGATGACCCACGTGGTGGTTGGTAGGGGGGGTGAGGGGGGGTCGCTGTGATGTTTCTCTAAGTGCGCCCCACACCTGCGTGCTGGCGCCCTGCACGCCCGTGCGGCTGAAGGCCTCGGCCGTGCCTCTGACGAGCAAGGGGGGGGGGACGCGGGACGCTGTACGGAGCCTCCATTGGAGTTGTGATACTGGCAGCAAGCTGCTGATGAGACCCAGAGGTGGGAACTCGTGGAATACGACCGAGACACGGGATGCACTGTCTAGGTTTTTTTTAATGCTTTCCACGCAGAGTTGAAAGCGGTAGTGCTTTAACTCTGTCTGTCCGCCTGTATTAGGGGGTGATCGCTCTCATGAATATGAATTCCTGCAGTCACGAAAATAAGTCAAGATTTAACTCTCGTGAAGATGATCAATTAGAAAACCAGCCGAATTGGACAAACGGTTGGGCCAGAATTAGACGATAAAAACCAGCACCGCCGCCGTGGGTAGCACTACAGGAGCTGAGCGTCAGACGTCATCCCAAAGGATGCGCGGCGGAACCCGGCCTGAAAACGCACGGGAGAGCAACAGGGCAGCGCACGACCACAAACAGCTGTGCTGTGGCTAGCCGCAGAGAGAGTTGGGGGGTGGGAGCGGTGAAACGGCAGCGAGGAGATAACTGCGAAGCACCCTGTGAGAAGCAGTGCTTCTTGGCGGCCGGGAACGTAGGTGGGTGGCTACGTGTGCTGGCCACCCCCACCCGCTCACCCACCCACCCACGCGCCCCACTCGCCAACCATGTTCTGGCGGCCGCGTGCGTCGTGCACAGCACTCGATATGACCGACAGATGACGAACAAGCGCACGACACCTCTCATGTACTCTTCGGTTCTTTCGGTAAAGTCACGTAGGTGGAAAAAAAAAATCTAATTTTTATTTTGTATTCTTATTTTTTAATTTATTTATTTAATTTTTCACCTACGTGACTTTACCGAAAGAACCAAAGAGAGTATGGATCCTTGCAGTCACGAAAACTTCAAATCTAGAATGAACCACCTCTCAGATGTAGATCCTCATGTAAAATGTGGTCAAGGCACAGGCAAGCAATTGTTTTGCACACCCCACTAGGCTGGGGGAAGGGCCTCCACCAAAGGGAGCTGTGGAGGGTACTTTGGCCTACTCCTCCACGCTCGCTTTGAAAGATGTGCCGGTACCCACACTCTACCCCACCATGCGCCGAGCTGCTGATCGAGTAACCGTGCTCGTGGGAGCAGTGCCGTCATGGTTCACGGACTGAGCTATGATCCCGTTGATAAACGCCGCAAGTGGCTTTTACTACGCCGAACCTGTCCCGGCCCTGCACTGAGTAGACATTGTGATCTTGGTTCATCAGCGATGGCGAGACCAAGGCGGCCGGGCCTATTGTCCCGGCCACACCCCGCCACTCCGGCCTTACTCGGCACGTCGCGAACAGCACTGGGCCCGACAGTTTCCGTAGAGGCCGCACGGGGCGGCGTGTTTATTTGTCTCCATCCCCTTCGGTTCGCAGAACCCCGCGGACCAGGTGGCGTTCCAGCTGAGCGGCGGGTTCGAGAGCCTCGGCCAAATCCTGCAGGTGATCGCGTCGGCCAGCTCGCCCAACACCATCACGCGCATCCCCTTCAAGTGAGACGCGCACCACCACACGCGCACGCGCACACGCGCACACATGCACACACACGCACACACACGCACGCGCACGCACACATGCACACACACGCACACACGCGCACGCACACACACGCGCACGCACGCACACACACGCACGCACGCGCATTAACGCACGCACGCACACGTAGCAGTAGCACGTGCGGGCACAGCAATGAGAGCAATGGTGGTGCAGGACAACAGCACGTGGCGCACGCAACTGCAGAGCACATGGACGCTTGTGGCGGTTGCGAAAGAAACAAAGTCCGGCCCGGGTTTTTAGGTCTCTAGGGATGATGCGTGCAGGTGGATTGCACGAGCAGTGACACCCAGAGGTTCACATAGTGACCCACAGACTCACATGGAGACCCGCAGGCTCACATAGAGATCCATAGTCTCACATAGAGACCCACAGACTCACATAGAGACCCATAGACTCACATAGAGACCCAGAGGTCCACATAAAGACCCACAGCAGTGACACTCAGATGTTCACATAGTGACCCACAGACTCACATAGAGATCCAAAGACTCACATAGAGACCCATAGACTCACATAGAGACCCACAGACTCACATAGAGACCCATAGACTCACATAGAGACCCACATACTCACATAGAGACCCATAGACTCACATAGAGACCCACAGACTCACATTGAGATCCACAGCCTCACATAGAGACCCACAGACTCGCATAGAGACCCACAGACTCACAAAGAGACCCACAGACTCAGATAGAGACCCACAGACTCACATGGAGACCCGCAGGCTCACATAGAGACCCACAGACTCACATAGAGACCCACAGACTCACATAGAGACCCATAGACTCACATAGAGACCCACAGACTCACATTGAGATCCACAGACTCACATAGAGACCCACAGACTCGCATAGAGACCCACAGACTCACAAAGAGACCCAGTGGGCCATATAAAGACACACAGACTCGATGTCTTCATCTTGGTCTTTGTGACATTGATCATCATCATCGTATCAACATTCAGATGGTCATTTTGGTGATCATCATCATCTTCGTGACCGTGCTCACACTGATATCGATCACCACTGTAACAATGTCTTGTTTATCGTCATCATCGTAATGGCCCCATCATTTTGGTCATCATCATTATCATCATTGTCGTTGTCATTACGGTCATAATCAATTAATTGTTATAGTCCGATAATAATTATTGTTCTCACAATCGTTGCATTACTGTCTAATTAACGTCGACGATCATTTTAAGAGTCACGTTATTATTTGATTCATCGTAATCGCAGTCGCGTGATAATTGTTTTCCTTAGCCGCAGTTATCGCATTGAACCCCCCTACCCCCCCCCCCTCCCATCATCAATTTCTCCGGGAACTTTCCTCCCGTGCGCCGCGCGGAATTTCCCTAAAGAAAACATCCCTCGAGATCGCGGCGCGCATCGCCCCACGTACCTTGGCGACGTTGTCGTCTCGTTGACTTTGTCCGGCCGCGCGATGGGGGGGGAAGGGGAGTGGAATGGGGGGGGGGGGGTTTTCAGGCAGACGAAAAAATGCGTCAAATTTCCCCCGGCCCCCCTCCACCCGCCCCGCCCCCCCCTCGCCTTTATTTTCGTAACCTTCGGAAGTGAAAGCAGTGGTGCGGTTTGTTCCAATTTTTGTTGCGCGCCTTTTGTCGTTTCTGGTCCCGGGACGAAGAGACACACACACGCGCGCACGCGAGCACGCGTGCGCCAAAAAAATGAGGAGACACGTTCGGCTGTTAAATTATTTTTGCGCCGCCCGCGCCGCGTTTTTTTGCCGACGGTTCCGTTTGCGTTCCACGCTGGTGGGCGCGGGGCTAGCCGCGACAAGTCGGGCCGCCCGGCATTAGCGCCGCGCCGTGAAACAACAAGAGAGGAGGCCAGGGAGCCGGCCAAGCCTGTCCACCGAGCGAGCCTCGGCACTCGGCCGTCGGCAGTGAGTGAGTGCGAACAAGTTGGGTGAGTGCGGTGACTTTCACGGTCTCGCGGAAGTTGCGTGGATGATTTGGTGGTGAACGCGAAAGTGATGAAGACCGTGATGAAAATAAAGGAGGAGACGCCTTCGGCAAAGTCGACGATGATGATGATGATGACTTGGATAATGTGACTTGCTTACTGATGATGATCATGGCCATAACAACCCTTGTCCTATAATGATCGTCGTTTTAAAATATTTCGCAATAATGCAACGATAATGAGGACACTCATTATCAATTGACTCTGATGGTGATATTTAGTGTCAGGCTGACCATGATGGTGATGATGGAAGTGATCATGATGATGATCACGAATGATTGGACCGCTGTTGCTGAAAAGCAACATCCTGGCGTGCCTAAAGAAGGCGGTTATTTTGTTTTTATTAGTGCATGCGACCTGTCCTGGTGTGTGGACCAACGTAGACACTGGCCAATGGCGTAAAGCAGCATGGAGAGGTGTATTTTGCTGGTAGGAACCACCTGGTTCCATCAGCCCACAGGGGATTATTGTGTCCGTCCGTCCGTCGTGCAGGGAGGGGCTGGGTGGGGAGGGTGGGGCTGGGTGGGGAGGGGCTGGAAGGGGAAGGGCTAGGTGGGGGGTGGGAGGGGTGGGGCTGGGTGGAGAGGGGCTAGTCACCCCGTGGTGCCCTTATAAAACTCAACGTTTAACCTACTCACGCCGGCTTGTGCCCGCCCTCACAGTCGGGCATATTTGAGAAATAAACCACGCCGCCGTTGACCCTGGCCATTGACCGAGCAACCCAACGTTCCTACCAGCTCCCTCCGCAGGAGGAATGTGTTTATGTTTGGGCCGAGACTCACGACGGAACGGCAGCCAAAGGAGGGAACGGTGCCCGAGACTAAAATCCACCGCGGATGTGGGGCGGTGAGATCAGCGCTTGGGCTCAGCAGCTGGATGGGCCCCTTATGTTGTGAGACCAGCGAGAGATGGAGAGGGCTTGGGAAAGCCTTCATTCAAATGTCTCGTGGCTGATAACGATGATGACCTTATGGGTGGCTACGGATCGCTTTGGAAACCACGTGGCAGTGGTGAGCAATTGAACCGTGCGAAACCGCTGCACCACCACTCTGCAGCACGCACACAAAGGCGGAGATCCCCCGTATAGACTATACAGCCGGGGGGGGGGGGTGGGTGGGGGGGGGGGTCATACTGTCGGCAAGCACCTATGAAGGTCGACATGGCGCACCAAGGGTAGTGTGCCTCGCATCGTGTTCTGCCACCTTTGTCTCCCGGTGTATCGTGTTTTACACACCGCAACAAGTACTGACAGCCGAGTCGACCCAGTCCCATTGGAGGTGTAGGGCACTCATGTGAGCCATGGCCGGGAATTGAACTCGGGTCACCAGGTTCGGGGGGCAGCATGCTAACCACTGCGCCACCGCTTCTACAATTATACAAAAAGACAAAGACAAAGATCACCCGTATAGCCTTAACAGACTGTTGGGGCAAGTGCTATCAGCGAGCGATGAAGGCTGGCACGGCACACGAGGGGGTGGGTGGCCAGCACCACGCGATGTTTACACATCACACCAGGTACTCATTTAAGGCTGAGTCGACCTCCGGGAGCCCCAGGACCGGTTCAGATAATGGTCACTGGCGTTGGTCGTGAGCGGGAATTGAACTCGGGTCGCCGGGATTCGTAGCACGGCGCGCGAACCGCTACACCACCGCTCCCCACACAGTCTTTGACAGATACACACGCACAAAGACACACACACACAAAGACACACACACACATCCTCTTGCGCACACAAGCACACGCACCCAGACGCAAACTTGCATGCGCGCGCGCGCGCATATGCACGTGCGCCCGCACCGAGCTCGTAAGCGCGTGAAGTGCAGACCCTCACGCGTCGCACAAGCAGCTGCGTGGGCGCGTCGCATCAGACGGCGGCACACGAAGAGGCAGCCGCGCGTTTTGATCGCTCGCAACGAGCTCGTGGGGCCACACTGCTGCCAGTGTCTCGTGGCCCACCGCCTCCCTCGCCGGCACGCCCGCCACTATGCAACCCGTACCTCTCCCGTCTCTCCGTCGTGCACAACTGTGCCCCACCGAGGCCACGGCCGAGTCGGGGGGCGGGCGACTCAACCGCACGTGCCCAACGCCACCGCCGACTCCCTTCGAAGGTGGTGATGGCGGAAAGCTGAGTGGCGCCCCCCCCCCCCACGTGTAGTTTCATTTAGAAAGGCCGCGTTGCGCTGCCGAATCGGGGGGGGGGGGGCTCTTGTGATGGATTCTAACTTCTTGAGGCTGTGAGAGATGGATGGGGCTCTTGGGGATGGCCTTAATGCAGCAGTGGACGGGACGGATCATGGCTGGTGATGACGTTGGCCAATTATTGGGGGGGCTAAGAATGGCGATGTTTCGCGTCGCCCCGTGCCGGCCGGTGCTCCGTCGCCATCGGTAGCTCCCACGTTTTGGGGGGATTCTTCTTCCCTCCCCCACCCCACTACCCACAACCCCCCTCCCCCACCACCCCCCCCCCCCTTCCCCTCTCCATTGATTCCACCGCTCGAAAGGAGAGCCAGATTTTTTCGCCAAAGCGAGTGTCCGATTCCGAACTGGCGGTGGTGGTGGGAAGCCGTGCGTTGGAGCCTTCGTGGCTGCGGGCGGCTTGGGAAGGGGGTGGGGGGGAGAGGCAAATCCGGGTAACCACTGCACTCGGCGGAGCCTCCTCCCCGGTGTATTGTTTCGTCGCCGAAGACACGCGCGGAGGCAACGGAAACATAATTGCGCCCGCTCTCGATGTGCGCGCGCCCACTCACTCGTCCGTTCGTTCGTCCACTCACTCGTCCTTTCCCGGGCTCCAATCCCAGCCACGGTTGACATCGGTGGCGAGTGAAACCTGAACCGGTTGTGGGCGCGCGCCCCAGCCCCCTCCCCCCCCCCCCGCCCTTAGCGACCCGCACTGACCAGCAAGGTGATGTACGGTCAAACAATCCCCAGGATTGACGAGGCGTGCAGA